ATTACTAACTGGCTGGTCGCAATTTGAATCAGGCCGCACAACGTCTAGCAGAGTGGCGCAGCAATTTTGGTTCAACAGGACTTGCTATAATGATTGATTTCTTTGCTTGGAACAAGGACACTGATATGAAAGTGCTTGGCAAAGCGCTTCTGGACAACTTCGCTTTTATTTTCGAGGACATGGACAACATGGATCCAATGCAGGCATTCTGCTCTCCATTCATGTTACAACTCTTCACTACTGCTCATCTTCATAGCATTATTGGGCACGCTCACGTCACCGCACTCAAAACAGATGTGTTGGCTTCCATTGGCATGGCTGGCGTTCTCAGCATTTGTGCAGCTTCAGTAAGTACTGTAGACATATGAGAAACATGACTGATGGTTTGTATTTTGTTAACAGCTCAAGCGTGCCATTAAGTGCCTCAGCGATGGTGCCATCGACATTGATTCGGATGCCCTCAATATGCATCCCACACAATGGAAGCGCAAGCTGTGGATGCCGAAGACCTTCAATAAGGCCACCAGCAATCACAGCACTACTGAGCACGCATTCTCTATCAATAACTGGGGGTCAGTGACTACCTCATACGTGATTAGTATCAAGAAAAAGGGGGATATTTTTCTGAGGGACACATCATTGATGGCCTGGAAATTATTGAGGAAGTCGGGCAGTGCTAGCCTCCAGAAGTACCTTCACCTCAATGACGAGGAAGAATCTGACGTTGACGAATGCAGTATGCTGTGGTAATAGATTTATTTTATTTTATTCCTTATCAATGAACTAACATCATTCTAGATCGCAATTTCATGCTGCTTCAAGTTTTCAATTCGTGCTGTCTTCACCTCTTTGTACCGTCGCATTTTGCTCACTATTCCACCATCCCTCTTTAATCCCCTTATCTTCATTTACACGCATTTTACGTTCTGCTCGATCATCACTTTTTTCACTATTTGTCGTACTTTGCTCGCATCGTTTATTCTATTTTCACCACTTTTTCGTACTTTGCCGTTTAGCAATGTGGTTCATTCACTCTATTATTACCACTGTTTTCCCCAGTCAATACCTGATAAGTGACTTTCCAAGAGTGGCAAAGTAGAATTAAGAGGGCGAGTGGCCTTTTTCTCAATTTTTTCTGTCATGTGTGAATGGTTCCTCAAACCTGGTCAAACCCAAATAAATGAGAATAAATATAAATTCAGAATCGAAAATAGATTCGATGTTTTACTGATGAGAGGAGATGTCTCAGAAGCGCAAGACTGCGAAGGCAGACCAGTTACGAAATTCCACTTACCCTACACAAAATCAGCTAAGAACGAGGGAGAAGAGACCTTTTGGGCCAGACAAGACGGCCCTACAGATCCCAAACCAGCGCTAGAGAACCACCTCTACGTCAACCCGGCCAACAATAAAGCGCACCTGTTTGCGTGGAGACACCCCAAGGGACTTAGATCGCTATCGAAGAAGGAATTCTCTAAAAGGATGGCAAGCACTACAACAGCAGCCGGTCTACCTGATTTGAAAGGGCATAGCCTGCGCATAGGAGGTACTCTAGAGTACCTGCTGAGAGGCGTACCTTTCGACATGGTCAAATCAATGGGACAATGGTCAAGCGAGGCGTTCACAATATACTTGCGCAACCATGCCCTCATCCTAGCGCCGTACATACAAGCCTCGCCAAGTCTTGAACTGTTCACCAGGTACACAATGCCACCTGTTCGATAAACATATTTAAGCGGTGAGTAGCACATCTCCTGTCAAAAAGGAATCAAGCTGCACTGCATGCATCGCTGCACTCCTGAAATTCGGGAACACAGCTCACCTTGATACATAGGTTCAAACCCGTGTTTTGGGCCGGATCAGCCCTTCGGGCTGGCGCCCAAATACTCAACACATACAGGCAACTTGCCTCATCAGAAACGCTGTCGATCCATAGAAACGGCCTCTCGTAGTACACACCTTAGACCATTTGTCCATTGCTTCTTGTTTGCCAATGACACTATCCTCTGAAGTGGCACGTTGCCATGTAGCACATAGATTTATTGCATTGCAGTCACAGACTATGATAACATGGGTTCTTCTGGGATCACTGTGAACTTGAAGATCAGAGGTGCGAGTAGGGCTTGGGCAAGTTTGAACTCAACAGCAGACCACCATTTCACTTACATGCCGCACGAGCAACACTCGATAGTCTAAGGAAAGGCGTGTTGTGAATCGTAATATGAGTATAAACTAGCAACGAACATGATTCATATTGAACCGTGCCTACAACAGCACCTAGATCTGGTGCACATGCACATGCAATCCAGGAGTGACACACACAAAAGAGCAGACACAAGTGATGCGGGCATCGAAAATTGACATGTACACCTGGCGAAGCTTGTCAGCGCATCCCTGAAGCCACATGGATATATGCGCTTCATTGCTATCTGCGGGCACTGTAGCAGCACTCCTGGGAGGAGCTAAAGAAAGTTGAATGCCTTTGGATGCCCGTGAACATATCCGTCAGCTGACTTGAATGGCTCATTAGTACTGAGAACCTTTGCTTTAGAAGTGTACACATCCAGAAATGCAAAAGAAAAAGCACCACAATCAGATGATATGGCGACAACGTACTTTGCAAAGACTTGAATAGGCTGGGGTAGGTGCGAATGTGTCTGGGGCCGTTCCACCAGAATTAGATGCGTTGAAAGTAAGTGTAGGGGCGAGCTATGTGTGGGGAATTGTTAGCTGATTCGCTTCAATGACAAGGAGAATTAAGGAATTTTAAGTGTTAACTAGAAGAGAGTAGTAATTTAAACATCTAATAAACGAAACTGTAGATCGAACAACTGGAAAACAAACCCACTTAACTGCACAACATCCATACAACAAAGGCCGCCCATGCGTTCTTTGATGATGAGGGAAATGTCCTTGACATGTACACCCTCTAGCTAGAGTGCCTTGTCTTCCACCTTTGTCGGGGCATTCTGAGACACATTGAGCTAGGGTCTCTCGCTCTGAGACTAGAGCTCTGCAATGATATACCATTCTGAAAGGAGGTAAGCATGCCGGAAGGGTGTACTGAAGGTGGAAAAGTACCAGTATGCTAAGGGGTACACAATTGTGATGACGCTGTCTGTTGGAATGACAAATGTGGGCCCCACAAAAAAGTCAAATGAGAACCAAAAATTAAACTTACCATCATGCCCGCATCAGATAAGAAATAGAAATGGTTCATGTATGATATTCGTAATCTGGTCAGCAATAGCAATCATCATCGTGGCTGGAGCACTTGCTGCAGAGCAGGTAGCGAGATGCTCAATAGGTGAGGACAATACATAAGGACGGGCTGGCAAAGGATAGTCATGCTAACGACAGTGAGAGGGGCGTCCCATAGGAAGACATTTGCGTACTGAAGGTGAAAGACGTGGATATGCAGGAACCGAAACTGGCTCTGGAGAATTGGTCCAGATGAACATTGAGGAAGGTGGTGAAGAAGACTGGGAAAAGACGTGATGTATATCACCGAGAGCGTCGTCCGTGGCATTGAAAATGTCAGGGTTGGTGTCATGGGTGAATCAGGTCAGGGCCAGCGATTGTCCTAGCACCTGGAACTCTTAGAGAATGCAAGTACCTGCAAAGCAGTGGCCTAAGAGCAGAGCACACAAGGGGAAAGATACATCAATGGGCCACAAATTGGCAACCTCGCGTTGTCTGACTAGAATCACTTTTTGATATACCCTACTCAGTGAAATTGTGCTATAATTGACACTCTAGGAACAAGACAGACTAGAGGAAGAATGTTAGATAGACCCCCACAGCGCGCGTTCTATTCGATAATCATATCAGACAATCACGCCAGACTCCTCAAAGCGAAGCAGCAGGAGACGTGGAGAGGTGAACGAGCCAGCTAAATAGAAATCACAAGTGCCAATCAGGGAGATGATATTTTGAGGAAATGAACGAAACATGGTGTCATGTATGTCATGGTTAATCCACAACACCCGCCCGGTAAACACAAGTAACTCCTCACTTGGACAACAAGTCACATCAGGAAAAGTGCATGTTACTTAAGCTTACCTTAAACAGACTTAACTCGCACTTTAGCAACTTTGCAAAAAGGGATCTACTTTGCAAAAAATTCAAACTTTAACATATTCAGAAAAAAATTGTTGAGATATATTAACATGCATGTTTTATTATAGTTCACACCAAAAAAAATGAGATATGCCAAGTGAATGATGCATGAGAGCACAAACAGTTTTGAGCAAAGTTGATTAAGCTGATTAAGTAGAGTGCACTTTTCCTGATGCACTGCTTCCGCTACTCTACATACTTCAAGGTCTCATATGATAACTTCTCTGCCCTCAATACTCTCAGTTTCAGAGTGCCAGGGCTGTCATTGCTGGTGGTGTACTTACCCTTCTTCCATGATCTCCCTGCGTCGGATCACGACCGGTCCTCACACCCAGCCACTTGAGTTGTATTTTCACGCCTGATCGATGATCGCTGAGCTCCTTGTGTCTATCAAACCGTCACGAGCTATTAATGTTGATCTGGTAGACACAAGGAGCTTTTCATAAGTCACAGCTTACACTATTCAGCGTGAAGCTCTTATACAATTACTCCATCATGGTCGACTCTCTCAGCTTCAAAATGTCAGGGCCGAACCGTGCACAGGTCGTCTTTGCTTAGACTCGTGACCAGCCCCAGATCTATGAGGCAAGCCATCGATAGAGGGACTGGTAAAACTGGCTTTGAATTTGGATGCTGAGCAGATTCTCAGGGTAACGTGATGTCTGGCCAATGAGAAAACCAGGTTTTTTTCAAGCTGTGCATAGAATACAAAATAAACAATAAAATTTCCACTATTAAGACGTGACGTGATGTACACTTGCAAAATCAATGGACCAATCCTCCATCATCCAAGCTTTTCGTGATGCTTCCCTCGATGCATTGGATCACTTCGTGCGTGATTTGATCAAAGAACAACTCCCTACCGACTACCTTCAAACGCGTTACGAGCATGCTTGATCATCTATGTTCTGACAGCAACAGTTATGGTTCCGCGTCAATTCCAACTCAAAGCTATGCTCACAACCCTGAATGGTCGAGACAGTATTATAACTGCAGGCACTGGCAGTGGGAAGACACTGTGCATCATAATTCCTATCCTGCTTCGTCCAGGTACTGTGACCATGACAATTTCGCCACTCAAACAGCTCCAGGTCACACAGGTAACTTGGCTCAAGTGTAATGACTTTGTGCGCATGCAAAATATACTATTACAGGTTCTTGAGTCTGTGAAATATGGGATAAATACACTATCCATCAATGAGGACACACCAAATGATCCGTCTCTTTGGGAGGTAATCATCCAATACTTGTTGTAGAAAGTAGGAACTAAGAGACAGGTCTCAGCATTGGTGAAAGAACCGCTATGACATTAACAGTACCTAAGAGACAGGTCTAGAGACAAAACAATGTAAGTGAGAGACGGCGTGCAAAGTAAACGTGAACTGTACCTCAGCGTTGGTGAAAGAACCGCTGAGGTACAAACAATGCGATACAACGAGATTATAAGCTGTACTATAGAGTCTGTGATGGTGATGTCATGAATGTTACCAACTGCATCTAAATTTCGATTATCAAACCTAAGAGACCCTATCCGATAAAATTAGATTAGATAAGATCCCTGATAAGATAAGATGGATAACCGATTAACGATCACTATCTTTACATCACATCTATACTACATCGACGTCATCCATCTATATCCGTAACCCTAGACATTTGAAGTCATCACATCCTTAGGAGTCCTATGATTAGGCAACGGGTTATATCATAAGCATCTGCACGCTCTATGATCGAACCACAACCGAGAGTCCTTATCTCTCGAAGAGTCATCATCCTTCACATCGCACACCTTCACTTCTCATGACATGTTAAGAGTTACCTCTGTCATTCACCGAACCCCTTACATAAGAACCTGTTGCACAGTCACAGCTAAACCCTGAACCCCTATCACAGAAGCGCCACTCATAAAGAAGCATGCTCATTACCGAAGACCCTGGAGAACCCTAGATCCGATCGTACTGATACATCTCCAGATCCCATCTCTTATCAAGATCCTTAATCACCGCTCGAGACTTCTTGTCACAGAACTCTCTCACCCTTCTTAATCTCCGCTTACCCTGAATAGAAGCAGTCCCTGAGACCCTGCTTAATTACCGATACCCCTAACCCCTATGGACCCTTTCTTGTAGTTGATTGGTTGATAAAACGCCCTGAACCCTAGGCGCAATGTTATGATCTTATATAGATATATCACTACCTTTCATACTCAGATATCTCCGCTTAGAGAGTAGTATATAGTTTAGGTCGTAGTCAGTAGTACTCCTTAGACTTAACCTCTTCATTCTTACGTCATCGTAGACCTAGACGTTCCCTCTCAATCTTATCCTTGCTTTATCCTTCTCAGACGAGTCCTGTGGTGTGATCCGATCTCCAGACACCTACTAGTTAGGTTAAGGGACGTTGGTCATAACATGCGATCAAGAAAAGGAATACAAAGTCGATGTTGAACATCCAACACTTGTCTATGCATCTTGTGCAATTTTTGACACTTACGAGAAGCATACAACTAGGACATTCACACTGGAAAGTTCTCGCATCTAATTGAGCCTCTGACGGATCAAGAATTTTTAGCATGAAGTCGAGGATACTAATACGGCCATCTCAGAGGATTTTGACGGCAGCTTTGATGCGCTCCGTTGACGAGAGGCGTGAGGAAGATGTGATCATAGGATCCGTGAAAGAGGTGCTTGATGGAGGATCACCTGTGATATCCACAAACCCGGAGTCCACAGAGCGGTTAAAGTTGCTGTTTAGAATTGAAGAGGACATCATATATAGCACAAAGAGCAAGTAGCATTTGTTACATGAGGCAATGGTGACAAACGAAGGCGCTGTTGAGCAGTTAGCGCTGCCAGTCGAACGTTGATAGGAATCTCCGAGTAAGCGACTTAGCGAAAACTTAGCAAAGGTTCACGTGGTCTCTGATATCTCCAAAAAGGATTATCCATCACGTTACCCTGGGAATCCGCTCAGCATCCAAATTCAAAGCCAGTTTTACCAGTCCGTCTATCGACGGCTTGCCTCATAGGTAGGACTGGTCACGAGTCTAGTCTTTGCTGGCCTGTGTTCACCATGCCCGTGTCAATTACCATAGTAGGCAACCTCATCCAATTCCCGCGGGCAAAGTCTACACGGCAGCCATTCTTGCTTGTTCGTCCGTGGGATCGTTATGACCTGTAGCTGCCTGACCTCGCGGACGAGACGTAGAGCATGGAGGATTGGTCACCCGAGTCTCCATCGGACGAATCGCTCAGCGGGTATCCTGGAGATGATGATCAGGCTGATTCGGAGCCTCACTCGCGAGCGTTGAAGTTGATTGTCCGCTTTGGATAGCCTTTTGGTGCACCTCTCTAGCACAGCAGCGAGGTGGAGAGCACAAGAGGATCGCTTCGAATCACAATATGATTGCACGATCCAACATAAACGTCATAAGAACTCTAGAGATACTGTAGTTGCATGAATTTCGAAAGAATGGTATATAGTTGTAGAATACCAGCAAGTCCATGACTTTGATTTACACGGGTGACGGCACGCACCTTCAATCGAGAGTCATCCGATTTCGGTTTGTGCTCATGGGTCCTCGATTCAAGTGCTCGGAGCGACCTCTCTGTATGCGGTTTTTACTTCTTGCGACTGTCACACACACAGGGCATGAGTCAAAACAACTACGAAAGAAGAAGAAAATACAAACTCGATTCCTTTAGTCCTCCACCAAAATTGCGCATCATGATGATCGAAAAAACGATCATCATGACGAGAAGGACAATCGTGATTGCAGCTACCAGTATCGTGAGCGACTGAAAGAAGGGTATATATTTAAGAACTCACAAAAAGTGGTAAGCGATTTCCAGTACAAGGCATAGTATTCCATCTCCCGGTTCTGAAGAACACGGAAAAGCTGAAGCATGTAAGAACACCAGTTCTGCCAGTGTACAGCAGATTTGCCAAAAATAGCTCACTTTGTATATGCAATAGGCTAGGGCACCGATACTTCCAAATATGAACGTTCCCATCATCCACTTCTTCTCGTAACGTGCGGCAAGGTGGCCTATGACGAGGAGGAGAATTGATGTCGGGGTAGCAGCCCAGGTGACGTAGTACTCCCAGTTGTGATTCTGGGAGATTAGCCATATGAATTGCACGCAGAAACCGACCCAAAAGAAGACGTTGAACTTGACAAGGCATTCGAAAATCTGGTGCGTGGCATACATTTTCTGGATGCGTCGATCGCCACTGCCCAGAAACTCATACGCCTTCCAGCCGAATTCTTGGTAAATTTTCCAACCAAGAGCGATGTATGCTATCTCCGCAGCGGATATGACGACAGGTATCATGTCAGTGAGAACGTTCAGTGGTACATGCAGGATCCCGGCCGACGTGGTGGCCCAAGGTGTGACCGAGTTCTTGATTTCGATGATTTCAATGATGGCATATAACAGGAAGAAAAGGTTGAATATGCTGAAAACCAAGCATGAGGAATAGGCTACTGCAGGCAAGCAGTAAGATATGAGCTCACACGAGAGACAAGAATTGCAGGGTATTGCGTGCATACACTGCATCGACTGCCGTGATAAATTGGAAGACGCTGAATTTCAGGATCGTTTCAAATGGAGACGTAAGAGATGTTTAGACACATACTGAGCAAGCACGAATACGCTGAGATATACTTCCAGTTTCATGGAATAATCCGCTAATAGGACGAGCAAGTCGCCTTCGATGGCTAAATCCACTGCAGTCTCGATCACCACAGTAAGGACAAACAGCCGACATGGCCAAGAGTCAGGAAAAATCTGGACAAATGTCAGCGAAAGCCACCAGTATCAGTGAACAGCAGTACTGACTTTGGCCCAACAACTCCTGGTGTCAACCGTCTTCTCTTGCTTCAGCGCTGATGGGTAGCCATGGTTCGAGGGTTCTATTTCAACATCCTCCTCTGCATCATCATCAACCGAATAGGCTCCTTTCTGGTCCACGGAGAAAGAGTAGCCTTGTGAATCAGAATTGCCCAATGGGTGAGTCAAAAGGGCAATGGTCTGATGCCGTGAAGTGATTGAGTAGGGCTCCGTGTATTGGTCGGTGAGGTCGCTGTAGTCGTTATACTTGAAGTCGTCTGAAGGTGATAGATGAGGGTGTTGTGCGGATAGGCAGTCTGTTGAGTGGTCTTCGTGGGTGGTAAACGGGCATGTCATTGTTGGGAGACGCAAAGATTGTGGGATCCACTGTCAGAGCTTACAGGAGGGTTGGAAATGGCAGTGGACGCAGCCTTGACGAATCGTCATCGAGTACGGAGCATTGGAATAGTGACTACGCTTTGAACACCGTTTGTGTTGCCGTGGAGCACGGGGTATGACGGAGACTAACCAAGTGCATTGGTAAATGCAGTTGACATAGCCTTGAGAAAGCGCTCATTAACCCAGTATAGGAATAGTGAACATGCTTTCAACATGCTTTGTTGCCGTGGGGCACCACCAACAAAAGTAACAGATTCGTCAATGAAGCAACATGCTAATTTACCTATTTTATTCTGACACCAACCTGTAGTGCATACATTGTATGCACTTTGATTCAGCGAGAAAAAGGCGTTTGCAGGATTCTGCAAGCCTGACACGCACATCGTCTGATTAGCCAACACTCACATGTTCCAGGACAACATAATCCGAGGAGATCAGAACAGCCAGTGAAGTGTCGTAATCGACTGGAAAGACAGAAAGACAAGTATCTGTGAAAAGAATAAGCAGATGTCAACTGGCAAGAATTTTGAAGGTGTAATTACACTACGTGTTATTCTACTTGCACTCGCACAACGTATTCCAACATCACTTGGACTAATGGCCATCACGATATTGTAGGATGCAAATCAGCGCGATACCGAACCACAGAATAAAAGCCAATCGACCCGTCAAGACAATCCTTGGTACGTCCTTCATGAAAATAGCAGGGCGACCGTGCCAGCCACCACAAGAGACAGCCAGTAGTTTGACCCCAGAAAAACTACAAGACCTGATAAAATATTAAAAGGTCAATGTGGAATCGCAATCGAACAGGCACACCTACAGCTCGCTAGAAACCCCCAAGAGAACACTTTAAC